AGGGGGCGGGGGGGCGGGGGTGACGGGTGGTGGGTGGGGGTTCTAATTGAAGTATACAAAATTATGACAGGCATACACAGGGCAGATCAGGAGAATCTTTTCCCCATGGCAGATGTGTCTAAGACTACAGGGCACAAGTTTAAAAGGTGAGGAGTAAGTGGCTTAGAGGAGATGAGGAAAGATGTTTTCTCCAACAGTATGGTAGAAACATGGAAACCACTGCCTCAGAGGGAGGTGGAGCCAGGTTCTCTTACAACATTTAAGAAGATCTGACTGAGCCCTAACAAAACTGGAGTAAATGGGAATCTGGGAAAAAAAAACTCCACTGTTTAGAATCATACCTGGCACAAAAGGAAGATTGTTCTCTTTGTTGGAGGTCAATCATCTTATCCAAGGGCACCTTTGTGGAAATTCTATAGAGTAGTGTCCTAGGCCTGACCATCTTCAGCTCCTTCATTAATGACTTTCTCTCCAAAGGTCAGAAGTGTGAATGTTCCTTGATGACTGCACAATGTTCAAAATCATTCTTTACTCCTGAAATACTGAAACATTCCATGTCCATGTGCAGAAAGACCTGTCATAACATCCAGGCTTGGGCTAACAAGTAGTTAGGAATTCTGCTGCAGGTAGGTTACCACTGGTCTCCTCAGTGCTTATCTATCATCTACAGGACACAAATCAAAGTCTAGCCCATTTGTATGATGAGCATGGCTCCAACAACTGTCAAAGAGCTTAACATCAATCCAAGGCAAAAGTATCTCACTTGACTGGCAGCACATCCACCAGTAACATTCACTTATTTCACCATTGGCACACAGCAGTAGCAGTATGGACCATCTACAAGATGCACTGCAGTAACTCACCAAAACTCCTTCAACAGCACCTTCCAAATCTGTGATCTCTACCACTTAGAGGTACACCACCACCTCAAGTTTTGTTGCAAGCCACACATCATCCTGACTTAAAACCATACCACTGTTTCTTCGTGATCACATGGTCAAAATCGTGGAATAACCTTCTATAACGTATCGTCAATGTCCCTACATCCCAAAGTCTGCAGCAGTTAAAGAAGGCAGCCCAGCAATTAAGGATGAGCAATAAATACTGGTCTTTACAAGTGATACCCACATCCCACAAACAAATGAAGAACCGTGCAGTTCTAAGATCAAGTTAGTCGGGTTTCTTTGATCAACAATGAACAACCATTTATTACCAAAAATAAACTAGCTCATAGATGCAAAGATAATTCAAACTTTGTCATTAATATGTCTACCTTTCTAAAAAGAAATGCATATGCAAACGCACAGGTCTGAGGACAGAAACAAAGTAAATGAAAGCTTACTTGAAACTCTGTAGGGTTATTTGGCCATTTGATTGTGAAACGCATGAGACAAAAACAGTCGCAGATTGACCCAAAATGTTGCTCTGCCCAGTTATTCTGTACACAAATTGATAGCACTAGTGTCTCTTTCTGGAACAGCTATAGCTGGGATGGTGGGAAAGAATCCAATAAATGCACTCCAGGAATTCTCTCCAAGTGCTAAAGATGACTTCCGGTGGGTTTTCACCTCTCAAGCATTACTAAGCCATATTGCAAAGAAAGAGAAAGAGACCAATGGGTTGTTGCTTCTCTCTTGAATTGAAAAATGCAATAATCTTATTCCCCTATAAACTGGGCCAAGTCCTTCAGATTGTATGATTCCACATGAGCTCCCTGCTCCTTTCAAGTGCAATATTGTTGCTGTTGTAACCAGTACCTTTTCATTAGCAAAGTGTTCAAGATACAGTTTATAGAGTCCACATAAATTAAAAAGAAAATTGGTCCCCATCTCTTCACAACAAAATGAACATTCCTCTTGCAATTTTTGTACCCAGTGAGATAGGAATATTGATAATGAGAAAGCAAACCTTGGTTTTTACGGTGCAAAGATGTAAAAAGATTTGTTATGCCTAGTACAGGCATGAAAAAAGTACAAATTTTAAAGCTATATTTTTAAAATAGACATAGCAGCTTTTAAAATAAAAAAGTGCTGAAAAATTTATCAGTTCTGCAGACAACTGTAGAATGAGAAACAATTAATGGTTCATGTCCAATATGACGTTTTTTTTGAAAATGTCAATTTGTCTTTTTGCGTCACCACAAGACAATGGAGATATTGAAATTTAGTGTGTGAGAGACAAATATGAAATTAATCTCAGATTTTCATTGTATTATAATGGTTCCTCATTTCAAGTCAATGAGCCTGGTCCTCTCAAACACAATGTGGAAAAAAGTCCAAAACAGGATCAGTACTTGCCTAACAAACTACTTAATTTGGAAATAGACTCAAACAGTTCACACGAGTAAAGCAGCCATGTTTTTATTATCAGCTTTGAAATGTTAGTTGCTTTTCTGACGAGTAACACCAGAATAAATATATCTGAAAAGCAATTAAACCAGCTGCAAGACAACTACACTGAAAGTAAAACAGCTATACCTCGAAGCAGGAGAAGTATTCCTCCAAACCTGTTCAAACCTTCAAAGTTCACCTGAGAAACCTACTGAGAATTTTCTACTTTTACCAGATCTCTACTCCAGCTGAAGCATCAATTCAGCCAAGAAACTAGTAGCTTACTTCAAAAGAGTGACATTTTTTACAGGTTGCAACAGCATTGATATTTCTTCCTCATCTGTCCATAATTTGTGCACACACAAGATGTCATGTTAAAATTTCTAATTCAAGTGTGATAGGAAATTGATCTACTTTATTTTTAAATTCACAACATTTGTTGCTGGAAGAATTTAAATTGGTGAATCAGCACTGATACAAAAATAAAGCCTCTCACATAAAATTTAAAAAAAACAAAACACTGTCCATGATCTTTCGTTTTCTACTTACTTTATATTTTACAAAAGTTTCATGGAAGAGATAAACAGTTAAACATTAAATATAACCTCTTACCTGTTCTTGTACATCTTCAAATTCAGAGTTTAACAATTCAATAAAAATTGGTACAGCACCAGCTTCTATTACAACTTTGGTCTGCAGAGATGTACCTGAAGCTATGTTCGTCAAAGCCCATGCTGCTTCAAACTGGAATGGAACAAAAACAAATCAAAGTCTGAATTAACATTTGAAGTTACATTTTTGTTTTCCTGAATAAAGAAGAAATGATTCTGGATGGTTAACGTGAAACGCTCTTTCAGACTGAATATCTACCCACAATCTACCCTGAACTACTGCATTAAGTAATTTCTAAAATATTGCAGATACAGAAGTCATTTAGTTATATTGTACTGTTAGCTATATGAAGAGAAGTGTATATGTATTATAAAAAAAACCATGGAGATTCTCTTGGTTAAGTAGTATACAAATTAAGTTTCAACCGGGCATATTTGTTGTTTCCTCTTCTTCCCCGTTCTGCATTACCAATCCAGAAAAGACACATTACCTGATAACGACCTCATTCAAACAAACAGTGTCAATACAGTATGGTGCTGGAGGAACACAGCAGGTCAGGCAGCATCAGAGGAGCAGGAAAGTCGATGTTTCGGCTTTACACCCTTCATGGGGTGGGGGGCGGGGAGAGAAGTGAACTTGGAAATGGGGGGGATGGGGTTGTGGGAAGGTAAGTGGGATGGTGAGAAGGTAAGTGGGATGGTGATAGGTGGATGCAGGTAGGTGGTAGTGGAGACTGGTCAGTGCGAAGGCTGGGATGGATAGGTGGAAAACGTGATGGACAAGTTGTGTCAGGTCAAGGAGGTGGGGACGAGAGGGAGTTTGGATATGGGATGAGGCCGGCGGTGGAGATATTTTGAAACTGGTGAATTCTAAGTTGAGGCCACGGGGCTGCAAGCACCTGAAGTGGAATATGAGGTGTTGTTCCTCCACTTTGCCGGTGGTGTCATTGTGGCACTGGAGGAGACCCAGGATGGACATGTCACCAAGGGAGTGGGAGGGGGAGTTAAAATGGTTGGCAACTGGAAGATGTTGTTGATTATAGCCTGGAGAGCACAGTTGCTCTGCAAATCAGTCACCGAGTCTGCACATGGCCTCACCGACGTAGAGGAGACCACAGCGGGAACAATGGATTGAGTAGACCAGGTTGGAGGATGTACAGCTGAATCCCTGTCTGATTTGGAAAGATTGCCTGGGGCTTTGGACGGAGATGAGAATGGAGGTATGGGGCAGGTGTAGCACATCCTGCAGTTGCAGGGAAAGGTGCTGGGTGTGGTGGGGTTGGTAGGGAGTGTGAAGCGGACAAGGGAGTTGCAGAGTGAGCAGTCCCTATAAAAGACACATAGGGGTGGGGAGGGAAATATCCCTTTGGTGGTGGGATCAGATTGCAGGTGGCGGAAGTGGTGGAGGATGATGCATTGGATGCGGTGGTTGGTGGAGTGATATGTGATGTCCAATCCTCTCTCTTATCCTCATCTCCTTGACCTGACACAACCTGTCCATCTTCTTTCCCACCTCCTACGTGCATCCACCTATCACCATTCCATCTACCTTCCCCCAGACCGACTCCCCCATTTATTTCAGAGCTCCCGCCCCCCCTCCCCAGTCCTGATGAAGAGTGCAAACCCAAAACAACAACTTTCCTGCTCCTCTGTTGTTGCCTCTCCTGCTGTGTTCCGCCAGCTCCATGCTGTATTGACTCTGACTCCAGCATCTGCAGTTCTTGCTATCTCATTTGAACAAATAGGTAGCTTTGTAAAATCATAAAATCCCTACAGCGTGGAAGCAGGCCATTTAGCCCAGAATTCACATCGACCCTCTGAAAAGCATCCCACCCAGGCCCATCCTCCTACCTTATCTCTATAACCTCGCATTTCCCATCGTTAACTCACCTCGCCTGCACATCCCTGCTCAGTATGGGCAACTTAGCATGGCGAACTCACCTAACCTACACACCTATAGATTGTGGGAAGAAACCCGAGCACCTGGAGGAAACCCGTGCAGACACAGGGAAAATGTACGAACTCCACGCAGACACCCGAGGTTGGAATTGAACCCGAGACCCTGGCGCTGAGAGGCAGCAATGCTTCCTGCTAGGCCACTGTGCTGCTCCAAATTATAAAAAACTGACTCTCAGCCTTCAAAAGCTCAGAATTATACATCATGTCAAAGCTGATCTCTCTGGTCACTATCCCACGAGGTCCTGTGATGCCTTTTCCTCTATACCCTATCAGACACATTTCCTGTCAAGTCCAGCCTAATTGTTACCGACTTCTGATTTATTTTGGTTAATTGGGTCCTGTATGGAAACATCGTCATGTTTTCCTGAGGAAAGAAAAGTTAGTGCAAACCATCATCTGCTCCCAATATTTATTATTTTGGAGAATTCTGGAATAAAAAATAAATTTCAGTTGTTACACAGAGTGTTTGGAACATAAGAGAAACAGAAAAGTTAAAAGCTGGGTTGTGGTCATTTAAGAAAACATTCACAATGTGGGTAGGGGAGTCCAAAACTAGAGGGCACAAGTTTAAGGTGAGAGAGGCAAAATTTATAAAAGTACAATTACTACATTTAAAAGACATCTGGATGGGTATATGAAGAGGAGTGGGATCGGTATATGAATAGGAAGGGTTTAGAGGGATATGGACCAAATACTAGCAAATGGGGCTAGATTAATTTGGGATATCTGGTCAACATGGATGTGACTATACAATATATTTCTCTGCGCTCTTGAGAATTCGGTTTTCAAAAAGGAAAATGATACAATGTCCTTTTCCATATAAACTATGCAAGAGGGTGGGGAGGAGGAAAACACCCCTCACCTTGACTTAAATCTATAAAACTTGATTACAGTACTCAAAATCACAAGCAAGCCCCAAGCAATTAGGGACCACTGACCATAGTTCTGTTAATTTTAAAATAGTTAGGGAGAAGGACAAAACTGGTCCACAGGTTCAAGTTCTAAACTGGGGCAAGGCGAATTTTGATGGAATTAGACAGGAGCTTGCAGGGGTTGATTGGAGGAGTTCGTTTGCAGGCAAAGGGAGCTCTGGCAAGTGGGAAGCCTTTAAAAATGTGATAGCTAGAGTTCAAGATCTTTATGTTCCCGTGAGGGTGAACAGGAAGGTTGAGAGGAGTAGGGAACCTTGAACGACAAGAGATATTGAGGCTTTGACCAGAAGAAAGGAGGGAGGCATGGCTGACGAACAGGCAGCTGGGATTAAGGAAATCCCTGGAGGTATATAGGGGGTACAGGGGTTTACTGAAGAAGGAAATCAGGAGGGTGAAAATGGGGCATTAGATAGTTTTGGCTGAGAAGATTAGGGTGAATCCCAAGAGATTCTTTAAAGTATGTTAAAGGGAAAAAAAAACAAGTAGAGAGCAAGAATAAGACGCCTCAAGGGTCAAAGTGGGCATGTGTGTGAGGAACTGCAAGAGATGGGCGAGGTCCTCAATGAATACTTCTCCTGTGTGTACCGTGGAGAAAGACATGAAGACTAGGAAACTTGGGGAAGTTAGTGGCGATATCTTGGGGACAGTCCATATCACAGTACAGGTGGTGTTGGAAGTATTAGAATGTATGAAGGTGAATAAATCTTCTGGTCCTAACCAGATATATCCAAGAACCCTAGCAAGAGGCTAGGGAAGAAATTGCGGGGGCCCTGGCTGAAATACTTGCATCATTGTTAGCCATGGGTGAGGTCCCAGAAGACTGGAGGATAGAGAATGTTGTGCCCTTATTCAAGAAGGGCTGCAAAGAAAAACCTGGAAATTATAGACCAGTAAGTTTAACATCTGTGGTAGGTAAGTTACTTGATAAGATTCTGAGGAATAAGATGTACATGCATTTGGAAAGGTACTGTTTGATTAGGAGTAGTCAGCATGGTGTTGTGCATGGGAGATCATGCCTCACATATTTGTTAAGAGTTCTTTGATGAAGTGACCAGGAAGGTTGAGGAGGGCAGGGCAGAAGATGTAATCTATATGGATTTCAGTAAGGCCTTTGATAAGGTTCCACACAGTAGGCTGCTCTGGAATGTTACATCACATGGAATCCAGGGAGACCTGGCAAACTGGATACACAATTGACTTGATGGTAGGAAGCAGAGGATAATACTGGAAGGACGCTCGTCTGACTGGAAGCCTGTGACAAGTGGTGTGCCTCAGGGGTCGGTGCTGGGTCCATTGCTGTTTGTTATCGATGTTGATTATTTGCATGAGAATATACAAGGCATAATTAGTAGGTTTGCGGATGACACTAAAATAGGCAGTATCGTGGACAGTGAGGAAGGTTATCAAAAATTGAAGCAGGATCTTAATCAGCTGGGGAAGTTGGCCGAGAAATGGCAAATGAAGTTTAATATAGATTAGTGTGAGGTGTTGCATTTTGGAAAGTCAAATCCAGCTACAAGTTTCAAGGTCAGTGGTAGGGCCCTAAGGAGTGTAGTGAAACAGAGGGACCTTGGAGTTCAAGTGCACAGTTCTCTGAAAGTAGAGTCACAGGTAGATAGGGCAGTGAAGGCGGCTTTTGGCACACTGGCCTTCATCGGTCAGGGTATTGAGTATAGAAGTTGGGAAATTATTTTGCAGTTGTACATGACGTTGGTGAAGCTGCACTTGGAGTATTGTGTTCAGTTTTGGTCACCTTGCTATAGGAAGGATGTTATTAAATTGGAAAGAGTGCAGAAGAAATTTACAAGGATGTTGTCAGGATTGAAGGGACCGAGTTATAGGGAGAGGTTGGACAAGCTAGGACTGTTTTCTTTAGAGCGTAGGAGACTGAGGGGGGAATCTTCTTGAAGTGTATAAGATCATGAAAGGCATGGATAGGGTGAATGCACTCAGTCTTTTTCCCAGGGTTGGGGAAATAGAGGACTGGAGGCATCAGTTTAAGGTTAGAGGGGAAAGAATTCATAGGAACCTGAAGGGCAACTTTTTTTTTTTTTTTTTTTTAAACAGAGGGTGGTACACACATGGAATGAGCTGCCAGTGGAAGTGGTTGAGGTGGGTACATTAATAACATTTAAAAAGCATTTGGACAAGTACATGGATAGGAAAGGTTTAGAAAGATTTGGCCACTGGGGAGGCAATGGCCTAGTGGTATTGTCGCTGGACTGTTAATCCAGAGACCCAG